AAGGATTTCATATCATTAACCCTAACCTCCAAGTTTAAAATCAGGGCCTGTGGTGTGCTGACTATGTAATAAGCATAACCTTAGAAACATTTTCTCATTAAAACCTTGAAACTGAAATAAAGTTTTCTTTTTGTAGGTAAGCTCTATGGAAGAGGATCTACTGATGACAAGGGTCCAGTGTTGGCCTGGTTTAACTGCATTGAAGCGTATCAGAAGATCGGAAAGGTACAGTTACTGCCAGATTTAAGCTGGCCAACAGAAGGTGTTTCAAGTTTAGATTGTTTAAAGATGATATGATATTTTAGTGTGTCCTAAAGAATCAACCCCGTGGCCTGACATGCTAAGATGGGCGTGTTTGAAAACTAAATTGAAATTACTGGCAGGAGTATATTGAGGTGTGAATTTTTATTCCAGTATCTGAAGATGTATACCATTACTTCTTATCAAGGTTTTTATTTTGTTTTTGTACAGTGATGATAAAGCAGAATAGCTACTATACAGCACTATTCTAAAAGGGTATGTGGGTCATTTGTATCATTTTAAAAATATTATTTTAGCTTGATCTGTTGAGTTTTTCCTTTCTTTCTGATATGGCTCTCTGGATCTTCTGATAATTAGAGCAAATCTTTAGCAGGAATTTCATTAATGGGTGTTTAGTCAGAACAAATAAATCCCAGCTGGTGAATGTACAGTATTTATTTTTAAACATGCATTCCTGCCAGCTGCTATTCACATTTATTCAGTGGAGCACCCACAATTTCATTGTACATGTGCAATGATAATAAAGTGCTATTCTATTCTATTCTATTCCTGTGTTAAAGTACACCACTGATTTGCAGATCGTTTGTTGTCAAGAGATTATTTCAACTCTAGAAAATGAGCCTGAATTTTTTTCTTATGTATCTCTCTTCTTGTTGCAGGACCTTCCCATCAACATCAAATTCTGCTTCGAGGGGATGGAGGAATCTGGATCTGAGGGTCTGGATGATCTTGTGTTTTCTAGAAAGGACACTTTCTTTAAAGACGTGGACTACATCTGCATCTCTGACAACTACTGGCTGGGCAAGAACAAACCCTGCATCACCTACGGCCTGAGAGGAATCTG